CGATTATCTTCTGTGTCTGTGTTAATTGGTTTCCCTTTTCTTTGTTGAAGAGGGTCTGTGCAATCCTTCTGCCTAGTCCGCCATCTTGCCCCGCCTCTAGAACAGTGTTTTTGTGCACTGTATTGTGCCAGTTGAGGTTAATGTCCCCTGCAACCATGGTCCCAAGCCTCCAGGCCCAACAATGCACTCTCTCAAAAAGTCATTACTTTTATTGCTTTTGAAAAACTATGGAAGTTGGTTTTTATTGCTTTAGGTTTATTATTATGATCTGCTTTGTCTGCAAATAGCCAAATCTTAGTAAATTACATTGTTTTATTTGATTTAAATTCATTTGATTGCATAAAACTGTTAAATAGTTTTAAATGAGTATTAATGTTTTCTGTTATGCCTGTACCAAAACATGGTAAAGTGAAAAAAAATGGACAGTGTGACATTTTTATGTACTTTTCCTGGAATGTATTTGGGAAAACATGCATGATAGGGATGTTGGTAGGTTTATTTTTCTTAAGCTCTTTATTAGGTTATAGCATGTACTTTTGGCTGTTTTCTTTTGCATGCTCTTCTTCTTTACTTAGCATATTGCTTTTTGCTCACTTGTTCCCCATCTTTCTTTTTACCACCTTTTACACACCTTAATGGACTTCTAACTGAATACTTCAGTGGTTTGAGTCCACTCACAGATACCTCAGAAAAAAATCTTGGCAGTCTACTTCTGAAATATCAGCTATTGAAAACCCTTTGGAGCATTCTTCACTGACACACATAAAGCCACTGTGAGTTAGAATCAACTCAGTGGCAGCTAGTTTCCTCACCTTGAATTCATCTTTGACCTCACAAACCCTAGGTTTCTCACCTATTTTATCATCAGATTGTTGTCCTTTCTTCAAGGCTAGGGCTCAAAATCTGCCACCAGCACTTCTTTATTAATCCTTCCCTACCTAGCCCCCTGGTTTCTGTTTGTTCTCTGAATGACTACAGGGAATTTTTCTGTCATCCATGTGTTCCTTATTGTCTGTAACATAGGATTATTAGTCATTTTGTGTATTCTGCCTCTGCTACTTTGTATACTGACTTTTTAGGGTAAGAGAGTGTGTTTCCTTGGCTGGTGTGTGTGTGTGTGTGTGTGTGTACATAACATACCACATAACAGGCACTTAGTGTTTAATTAATTGCTAATATTAAGTACCCAGTTATTTAGTTTTGTGCTGTTAATTTCTCTCAAGGTAATCTTCGTGATTCTTACGGGTTTTGTTTGCTTATTGTTTGCTTTTTATAGACGTAAAAAAAGATTGGTCTGACCATGCTCTCTGGTGGGAAAAGAAGAGAACTTGGCTTCTTAAAACACATTGGACCTTGGATAAGTATGGTATACAAGCCGATGCTAAGCTTCAGTTTACCCCTCAACACAAATTGCTCCGTCTACAACTGCCCAACATGAAGTATGTGAAGGTGAAAGTGAATTTCTCTGATAGAGTCTTCAAAGCTGTTTCTGACATCTGTAAGACATTTAGTAAGTATCAGATAATTTCTTCATTTAAAATATGAGTTGTATGATATATGAGTGATATCTGCCATTTAGTTTATCCCAAGGAATGGGGATTGGGTTGAGGTATCTGTGTATATGTGTGTGAAATTTTTACTTTATTCTTTAAAGTGTTTTTGTTATTGTTGTTAATTAAAGTATTGGATTAATGTGGAATGAACGGAATCTACTAGAATTATGTAAAATATTTTTAATATGTAATACTGTGTAACAGACATTATTTTTAGAGGGAATTGCTTTCTTTGTTTCACATAAGTCACTGATTTTAGTGATTCACATGGATTGTAGTCACTTCCTTTATTGAAGGCCTCACATAGCTTCTAAGGAAATAACTATGAATGTTGTGTACCTTAACAAGTTTACAATTTGTGCTCCTATTTATGCATTCTGAAATGAGCTGTGGATTACTTTTGGCTGACCCCGTTACGTCATATGACAGGAATTAGTCAACCATCAGCGAAAAGGTGAACCATTATCGTTACTATTAGTACATGGAGCTCTCTATTGAATTTGTTCCTTCTTCAAAATGTAGTTTATTATTTTCATACTTAAATTTCAAATAGACTATAGGTATTTAAGCATGTTTATATTTTTAAATTATACTAGTAATTCATAAACATATCCTTATTGTAAAAGAAACACAGCACAGACATACAAAGTAAACTCCCTATTCCTATAGGTAACTATTGTCAACAATTTGGTGGATATTTTTTCCTTTTATTTATATAGTTAATGGATTCATGGATGTTGGACTTTTTGTTTTCCATAAATAAGACTATTTTGTAGTCTTTTTTTTTCTCATTCAGCACTGTCTTAGGGATTTTCCCATGTGTTTATCCATATACTTCATTCTTTAAGCTCTCACAGTAATTTAGAGTTTGGATGTACAGTTGGCCCTTGAACAGTATGGGAATTAAGGGCACTGGCTCTTAACACAGTCGAAAATCTGTGTATAACTTTTGACTCCCCAAAACTGTAACTACTGATAGCCTACTCTTGACCTTACTGATAACATAAATTGTCGATTAACAAAGTTCTTGCCAAACATTACTAGCTTTTCACACATACCCACATATACAGTAGATAAGTTTACTAACCGTATGGCTAGATGATTATTTACTATTCATTAAGTAGAAATGGACCATTGCAAAGGTCTTCATCTTTGCTGTCTTCATGCTGAGTAAGGTGAAGAGGAGAAGGAAGAGGAGGGGTTAGCTGTGCTGTCTCAGGTGGCAGATGCAGAAGAGGTGGAATGGGAAGCAGGAGAGGCAGGTACACTCAGTGCAACTTCACAGAAACACATTGTAATTTCTGACGGGCTTTTTCGCTGTTGCATTTCTCTAATGTTTCTTTATGGTACCAATCCTTACAGTGTTTGATTTAGTTTCAGTGCCCATATTGTAGAAGGGTCTAGGTTGCAAAAGAAGTCAAAAGCAGTCTTGACAATTTGGAACCCTTCTGCCAGATTGCCTAATGTCAGTTTTTTTTCTGGCACTGCTGCTTCTGCGCCTTCCTCATCTTCATCAGGTCATCTTCTATTCATTCCCCTGGTGTGATGTCTGTTAACTTTTGAGTTTCTCCAAGATCCATTTCTTGAAAAAAATCCATGTATACATGGACCTGCACAGTTCAAACCTGTGCTGTTCAAAGGGTTGACTGTACTGTTATATCCTAGTTTTCCTATTATTGTATATTTAGGTTGTTTTACTATTAACGAAAGGAACCCTGGTGACACAGTGGTTAAGCGCTCAGCTGTTAACCAAAGATCAGCAGTTCGAACCCACCAGTGGCTCTGTGGGAAAAAGACCTGGTGATCTGCTCCTGTCAAGATGACAACCTAGGGAACACTGTGAGATAGTTTTATTCTCTCCTTGAAGGTCACTAGGAGTTGGAATTGACTGAGCAGCACAAAACTACTACTACTAAAGAAAATACTGTAGTGGACACTTTTCTTTTCCATATTGTTGAAAACATTTAAAATTTTTCAGTTAGGATAGCTAGTTACAGGAGCACAGTCTTCCTTGCTGACATTAGCCTCACATTCGTGGCTAGAGCCTGTGGGCAAATGTCGCTTTTAAGAATCATACACCATTTTTACCTCTTACTTTAATATTTCTTGTTTTCTAGCAGTGTTGTGACTTTCTCCCTTCACCTCTAAGTTTTAAATATCTTTTTCTGTCATTTTAAGAGATTTGGGTTGGGAGGGGAGATATGGGTATCATTTAAGTTACCATTTTGGTCTAATGCCTTTGGAATAATAATACCTTTGTATTTAATGATTTTTTTAAAGAAAGAAAAATAATGTACAGAAAAGTACAAAAAATTATATAACCAAATTCAGCCCACTGCTATCAAGTCAGTTCTGACTCGTGGTGACTTGCTAGGACAGGGTAGAACTGCTCTGTGGAGCTCCTGAGGCTGTAAATCTGCACAGAAGCAGAGTGCCTCATCTTTCTCCCTCAGAGGGGCTCATGGGTTCAAACTCCTGACCTTCTGGTTAGCAACTGAATGCTATAATCACTACGCCACCAGAGCTACTTGAATACATTTCTGTAATTTTGCCAACTTTTTTTTTTAAGGGAAAATAATATAAAGTTCTTGAGTCTCATTCTCCTAACTTCCCTTCAAAACTTTCCCTAACAGAGCAACTACTGTCATAAGTTAATTTGTATATGCTTTCAATACTTTAAAAAACACATAAAAATACAAAGATACATGCACACATATATCTTGTATCTTTGTGTGTATCTGTCCATAAACAATGTTATTGCCGTTGCTCTGTGGGTATTTTTACATACAATTTTGTGCATGTATGTAAGAACTTTTCTTGAGTGTTTTAAGTGTACACATAATTCATTTCACAGTGTACTGTCAGATTGCTCTCCCAAGTGGTTATACCAGTTTACATTCCAACTGGCAATGTATGAGAACATTCGTTGCCCCGCACCCTCACTAACACTTGTCACTTTTTAGTGTTTGTGTCTCTGTGTGAGGGGAAAAAAATGACAGTATTTCTTTTCAGTTTATAAAGTTACATGTTTTTGTCTTTATTAGCTGTCTGAGTTTTTGGGTTTTTTTAGTTGCCTGTTTTATCTCATTTTTCTTTTTAGTTATTAATTTTAGAAGTTCTTTGTAAATTCTAATTTGGAGGTTTTGTGTGTTACAAATAATTTCTCCCAGTCTGTTCCTTGTTTTTAATCTTTGTTCGTAATTTTGTCATACAGAACCTATAAAACGGCTTTGTGTTTTTTTGTGTGTAGTTTATGAATGCTTTTCCTACCCAGAATCATAGACATCATTTATATTTTCTTCTAATACTTAAAAGTTTTGCTGTTCATGTTTAGCTGCTTAATCTACGTGGAATACAGTTTTGCATGTTTTGTGAAGTAGAGATCTAGTGTACCATTCTAGCCAGTACTTATAGAATTGAATTGTTCATGATTTTTCCACATACTTATTTTTGTTGATTGTATTTTTGTTGTGCTGTTCTTATGTGACTTCTGTTCCAAATTAAAACTGCTCCAAAGGGTCTTCTTGGCTGTGATCTTTACAGAAGTGGTTAACCAGACCTGTTCCTTGGTGCTGGTGGATGGGTTTGAGCGGCCAACCTTGCAGTTAACTGGTTGAGTACAAACCTTTTGCACCACACAGGGACCTTTCTCCACATATCTGTAATGTCAACTCTGTCTATACCAGCATTCCGTGTTGCATGTTGTTGTTGTTATGTACCGTCAAGTTGGACCCAACTCATAATGACCCCTCCGTGGGTTTCCGAAGCAGTATCACTACAGAAGTAGATTGCCCCATCTTCCTTCTAGGGAGTGGCTGGTGGGTTTGAACCGCCAGCCTTCTGGTTAGCAGTCAAGTACTTTAGCCACTATGCTACCTGTTTTTCTGCGTTTTCTACTCTTTTCCATCGATACATTTATTCTTATGTGGATACTACACTGGGTGTAGCTTTATAATAAAAATTTGCTGGAACAAGTACCCTTTTCTTGTTCTTTTTCAGAATTGACTTGTTTTTGGTGCTGTATATTTATTTCCCTTGAAATTTGGAATCAGTTTATTAAATTCCAGGAAAAATTACACATCGATTGATTGACAATGCATACAATATATAGGTAGTCCCAGGGTACAAACAAGATTTGCTCCTATTTATGTCTTTAAGAATCTGTAGGTAAGTTAGAACAGGTGTGTACAGTTTTTATTTAGCCTTATTTTAGTGCAAGAGGAGGCTTGAAGGCTTTTCAGTGATTTAAAAGGTGTATGTGCAGCAAATTTCAATGAAGAATTTGTTTTGAATAGGGGCTGGTTCAGTTGTTTCAAAGTGAAGGCAGATTTACATAATATTAAAGGGCAAGTATGAATTGTCCCATAAGACGTTCATAACCCAGTGACTGCCTGTATACATTAATATGGAGACATTTTATGTGTTTTTTTACAATAGAATCATCCATTTATGATCAAGGTTGTCTGTCCATTTATTGAAAAAAAATTCATCAAAAAAAGTATTATACTTTTTTCTGTTTTAATTATTTTAGATGCTTTACATTTTTTCTAGTTAGGTTCTGTTCTTTGTAAGAATGCTATTGATTTTTTTCTTATCATTTGATATGTAATACCTTGCTGAACTCCTATAAATTTCTAATAATTTAACTTTTGATTCCCTTGGATTTTCTATGTAAGTGATTGTACCCCTGCAGATAACTTTTCCCTCTTTTTCCGATTTTTGTACCTCTTTCTTCTTACTGTGTTTGATCACACCTCTAATACAGTGTTGAACAATAGAATTATAGTAGATGTTGTATTGTTGAGTTCAATGGGAATGCCTCTGACATTTTACATTACATTTAGTATTTGTTGTGTTTTTGAGAGGTGTTTGTTCATGGTTTTGAACTATAAATGTATATGAGATTTTAATCAGATAGAGCTTGTGGCTGTATATTTACAGCCCCAAGGTCTCACAG